TCCTCTCTGACGAGAGACCTGGAGGTTATCACTGCTTGGGATCGCAACAATCTTGTACAGTTTAATGGTTCCAAAACACAGTAGGTACTGTACCTTGACGATCAAAAAGCGTCCTAAAACTCATCCAGTTTCGAGGGATGGCCGAGTTCTGCAAAAGAGCCATTTATTTCGACAGGTCGGAGTCCAGATCACCGAGGCGGATCTGGCACGAACTCATCTCGTCAATAGCGGCAGCTGCTGGGAAAAAGTTAGGCTATTTGTTCAGGGCTAAAGAAGTACTTTTCTCCGCAGGACCTTCTCACCCTATACAAGGCCCAGATAAGGCCTAGCCTTGCTAGTATTGCTCACACGTTTGGGGTGCTGCCGCCCCGACTACATTATTTATGCTCGATGCTGACCAGACTGATCGATGACTCTTCTCTAACAGACAGTCTCGGGACCCTTTCGAACCGGCGATCTAGCTCTCTTCTACCGCTACACCAACGGGCTTTGCTCCTTAGAGCTCTCTTCCTTTGACCTCCCATCCTAACCGTGTCGAACTTCGTACATCCAGAACTGGCCGATACGACCGCTCATTTGTCCCGAGGGTGTCGAGATTGTGGAAAAATCTACAAGAAGGAGCTTTTCCCAGTTCTACTAACTTCGGGTTAACAAAATTCTTTGGGATCATCATAGCAGCCGTGGTGTTCTGCCTGCGCGGCTGATCGGTATAAAAAAAATAATAATTGGCTATACCTATCGATATTTTTATCACCTGCTGATAAAATAGAAGTGCTTAATTGTGTCAGTATTTGCACCATTTACTTGATTTGTTTAATGGGAAGTTCAGAGTATTAATCCTTAAGCTTAGTATATACTAGACCCCATTGCGCAATTTGTCTATAGGCAGTCTGGAAACGGTCTCAAGACACGATCTATAGATGGTCTATAGACAACCTTCTTTGTCTTGTCTAGCGTCCATATGATAATGTGAATTTTTTGATTTCATGTTCGTTTTCGCACTCAAAGACATTGTTTAGTGTGGAATGGACTGGGATATATCTCGGGGTCCCTCAGAATGTTTTATTTATTTATTTTCGGTTAACAGAGAAATAGAGTTTTGTATGTTTGAATCTTTAATATTATTACAGTAGTTAATTATAAATTTCACGTACTTATTTTGTTCTCATATAATAAAATATTGGCTTTCTGAGGATAACTGAGCATTTTCGATGCTTTTTTTTCAAACTGGCCTTGACCAGATAGAACACAATGGATTTAAGGAGCAATAATAGGATAAATTCTAGTTCCACTGAGGTTAAAAAATGACCATCTAAGATCGTATCCTCGATGAAAACAGTATGACGCCATCTGTTGGCACCAAGAACGGCGTTTAGGGGAGTAGGAATCGTCGAATTGTTGCTGGCTGACGCCATCTGTTGACGGTAGTAAAGAACCTTCGCTGTCTAGAAAAGATGGAGGATGACCGAGGATTAACCCCGGTTCACTAGAACCGAACCGAACCCCAGAAGCCCAGACCCACATAACACTTACTTTATAAGGGAAAGTTAAATGAGTGACTTTGAAGGCACGTTTAGTAGGCAACCAGATATTCTTATATACTTAGTACGGAGTGTAACAACAGAGTGGCGCTGATACTAGGTTTTCCGTTCTTTTTGACAGTTCAATGCTTTGACGTTGATATACGTTGATTATAAAGTTGAATCGTATGAGGCGCCAGCGTTTTATTAGTTCTGTGTCGGCGATACTGATATTCATTGAGCATTGAGCGTTAACTTCTATTCTATTCTAACTATTCACAAACTTACTTTTTGTAATGGAGGCTTATCGAAAACGGGGATTTAAAAAGTGCGTGGTGCCTGGTTGTACTGATACAATCAGTAAAAGGCATACATTTCCAAAATATGATGCCGCACTTTTCAACAAGTGGATCGAGCAAATCCAATTTTGGACAATAAAAATCACGAACAAATTTATAAAAGGGTGTGTGACTTACATTTTTCGAAAAGTGATTAAGTGCCTGGAACCAAGTGAGGTTTGAAAAGAACAGGTTTTGGAGTGGAGTTAATGGTGGCTTTTCTTTGGCCTATAAACAAGTTGTGCAATTTTAGGGTTTTTACTTCACTTTTTTTTATAAGAGGCCTCTCTATGAGTTGTGGACCTCGAAATTCTCCTTCCAACAGCGTCACTCCACAGAGCACTTAATTGTAAATAATTGACACGCCTGTTTTTCACGATTATTCTTCTTAATGCTCTTCGGTCGGCATTTGTGATATTACTTTTTTTCACATATCGTGGCTTAATATTAACTGAACCAGTTACGTTATATCTTCTAACAATATTTCTCACACTGTACCGCGATAAGTCTAATAAAGTTGCAATTTCTGAGTTTGATTTCCCAGAATTAAAAAATTAAATTATCAGTAACCGAATTTTCTCGCTAATAACCTTTCCTTCCAACTATTAGTTAACACACTTTAAAAAAAATAACTTTCAGGTAACCAGGACGGCTCAGCAACAGAGAAGTGTAACATCCAAAGTACTACTGAATATACTCACACAAGTCCTAAATGAAAAACTTCTGTATTAGGAAAATGTTTAGTAAATATTGAACATTCCTCAGAACATCCAAGACCAGGCTCATCTAAAGACTTGAATTCAACTCCCCAAAACATTTTAGCGGTAAGTATGTTTCAGGATATATTTTGCAAGTATTTAGTTTAAAAAAGACTTAAATTTAATTCAATCAAATAAATTTTCAAACTTGTATGTATAAAATAATATTCAATCAAATATTTGTATGTGGTTTTCAACTCCTTTTATTTTTATTTTTTTTATTCATAGGTGAAAGCTGGGCTGAAAGCTGTAGCCCAAAAGCAGGTTCTCAGATTTTGTGTTTTATATATATACCTGTATTTTGTACGAGAGAGAAGCGCAAGGAGTGCCATATGCCGCATTGGTTAGGTTACTGTCAAGCCCAAGAAGGAGATCTGCTCGAACATATAATTTAATATTTTGTTTTCATTTTGATTATAATTATTTATTTCAATTTTGATGCTACTTAGTGTTTTAATCTATTTCAGAATTATTTTTGATTTCCACTGATGGTGATCCTGAGTCTGCTCGCTGTCAACAAATGTAACAAATACCATTACTCAATACAAATTATCACTGCACAGGTTCGACACAGTTCACAAATGTATACGCTCAAAATAGAACCGTTATTTGGGCGTAAAGAATTGGTGTAACATATTGGCAACGCGGTGATAAGCTTCGCTATCCAGCCGGCTTCTATCTCTTTCTAAAATATGTGACTATACACATTGAACTCAAGCCTTCGGACAAATTTGGTTCTCAGTGTATGTTTTATGTCATACCGTTGCAGGGATCCCATAGGTACCCTGTGGCTCCCTTCGGTTCTTGATTTTCTCTCGACGAACCTGGTGTGAGAACTTTGATTTTCCACGTATACCTTTCCCTTTGGGTAGTTCGGTACCATTAAGGTGAGTTTACACATGCACGGTTTTAGTGGCGCCAGTCGTCGTGCCAGTTTATTTGCATGCCAGTAAAGGTTTACACTGTAGTACAAAAACAGAAATATTTGGCAAGCCAGTTTCATTTTCATAATTATAGTGCGCAATATGTCGGCTGAACTTCGCGAAGCCTGCAAAATAGTCGCTAAGCTTTTAGCGAAAAAGAATATAAAAGAACCACAGAAAAAAAACGCTACCAAACAAAAAGGTCGCATGTGGGTTAAACCATGGATCAGTCGTCGAGATACTTTGGGTGCGTCTGCAAAACTTCTAGGAGAACTGTTAGTAGAAGATCCAACGAGCTACAAAAATCATCTTCGAGTGACGAAACAAAATTTTGATACTCTCCTGGATTGTGTGACGCCACGTATTTTAAAAATGGATACCCACATGAGAGATACATTAACACCAAAATTAAAAATGGAAGTAACATTAAGATATCTTGCAACAGGAGATTCTTTCACTTCATTGCAATATTTATATCGTGTCCCAAAAAGCACAATATCAAAGTTTATCCCTGAAGTTTGTGAAGCCATTTATGATTCGTTAAAAAAAATTATTAAGGTAGGTAAGCAAATACATAATATTTATTATACAGTAGAACATAGGCAACAGTTTAAACATTTTAATAGGCTAAATTTGGCATGAAAGACTTTCTTTAAACATCGTCATAAAGAGAAGTATTAATTGCCTGTGAAAGTATATCGGAGTATTCTTGCTCAGGATTTGAATGTAAATTTGTATCGTGAGAATTATTATCGTAGTATGAACGGTTTGAGCTTGGGTTGCAGCATATTCATAATTAGTTGATGAGGCAGAGGAGAAAGGTCGTTGTATTTGTTGGGCATTCGATGTTAACGGTTGACGTATAATATACGAATGTATGTACGCCATTTATTCCAAAGCAACTGTTGCTGGCATCTTCTTCAGCGAACAAGCCACCGACCTGCCAAAACAATCAAACTCATTTTCCTCTGCTCTACTAGGTTTGCCATCTAATTGTTGTGCAATTTCTTGTAGCCCTTGTAAAGCCCTCTCGGTGCTACTTGCCCTTTTTGCAATCCTCTTTGGAGCTGTGCTGCTCGATGTTAATTTTTGAGGGACTGGTTTTCTGGCCTTCGAAGGAGACGACAATAGTTGCAGAATGCATACTTTCTATACTATCATCAACTTTCGATTGTGATTCAGTCAAGTACTTGTTTACACACGCCAATTAAGGCAACATTATGTTTTTCCACGAAGATCTGTTGCCACTGGCGCCAGTGATTTCAGAAGCATACAGAATTTTTTAGTTTTTGGATGCCAAGATTCAACTTGTATGCAAGTTGATGTTCACACGCGCAAATTTAATTTACTGGCGCGCTAGTTCCTATTGGCGCCACTAAAACCATGCATGTGTAAACTCACTATTATATAAATGAAACAACATCGATTCGATTACCAAAAATAATTTATTAATGAATTTGGAATTGGGATCACTTTATACTAATATAATAATTGTGTCATGACATTTATACACTATTTTGTATGAACAGATATGTCTCGTTTTGATTTTGATAAAATACATATTATTTTTTGGACAAATTAGTGTAATTGTTCCAGAAGTTTTCATCAGCCTTATATGCGGAGCCATCAGATTTACCTTTCATATTTATTTTAATTCAAGGTAATATTGATATAATATAATATTATTTTTTATTAAATAATAATAATATATATTATTGATCTTGAATAGTTAGATTTCTTGCATGTAAAATTTTTTAGGAAGTACTGTAGTTAATTGGAAAACCGTTCTTAAACAAATTGGGTGGCCCGGAAATTAGCTGCCCATGTGTACTAAATTCCGGCTCTGCTTCACTGCATAAAGGAAAATAGTAAGATTTTATTTTGGGTATAGCAAACTGGACTTCAAAATCGTCTTATACATTACGATATTACATGCTGAAACTATTTGTCCTATTGTTGCTCAAGTATAGTCGTTGGATAAATAAATACCAAATCGCACATGTAATCTTTTTAGTGTTCAGGTACATACATACAAACATGCTGCCATTGTCAAAGTACAATATGTATATGCAATATGAACTTTTAGTTTTGAAAACCAGCTTAAGATACTACTTCTGGCTTTTAAATAGCCGAGGCCCGTCACACATAAAAATCTGTCTGCGGATGATTTGATCATTGATACAAGGCCCAGATAAGGCCTAGCCTCGAGTATTGCTCACACGTTTGGGGTGCTGCCGCCCCGACTACATTGTCCATCGATGACTCTTCTCTTTCGCACCGGCGGGCCGTCGGCGATCTAGCTCTTTTCTACCGCTACACCAACGGGCTTTGCTATTCAGAGCTCTCTTCCATGATACCGCCGCGCGATGTGCCTGCCATTCAGACCCGCCTGACTTTGGCGTCCCATCCTAACCGTGTCGAACTTCGTACATCCAGAACTGGCCGATATGACCGCTCCTTTGTCCCGAGGGGGTCGAGATTGTGGAACAATCTACAAGAGGAAGCTTTTCCCAGTTCTACTAACCTTAGGCAGTTCAAAAATCGTATTAACAAAATTTCTTTGCGGTCATCATAGCAGCCGCAGTGTTCCGGCATTAAGGCTTCTGCCTGCCCGGCTGCTTAGATATTAAAAAAAAATGGCTAGCGATAGACCTACACGCGATAGTCGTTTTATTCTCATGGCAGTACCTACTGGCAAACATTACGGAGTTACGGTCTGTGCAATCTTTACTTCCGATTTCCCCACAATCATCTGCAGGCTCATTACGCAACTTCCAATCTGAGCCGGTCGGCAATCTATCCTCCAGGTGATCAGGTTCAAAAAGCCTTGCTAATATTATGTGGTATGCACCTTTTAGCGATGTTCTTGAGCTTCTATAGGTTTACAAGTATCCGCTCTTTTGAAAACTAATGCGTTCGATCTCATGTTACTTGCGTCAATACGATACCTTGCAATTCCAATAGAATCTTTCGTTGATACAGCAAACATTAATAAAATATACCACTTTAACATAATGATATCGAGAGCTTTCTGAGTGCGCCGTCTGCGCCTTTCATCTTTATTATACCAGGTGATTTGAAAAGTTCCTGAACTCTACATGAAAAAACATTAATTGCCCTCTGAAAATACATTTATTTTTCAATATAACCTCCCGTAAGTTCACTACTTTTTTCTAGCGATTTTTTATTTAATAAATACATTTTCCGAAGTGATTCTCTGGCAGTATACGGCTGCAATGACTTTTTCATTTCGCCTGCTTAAAGCGTGAAAATAGATGAAAGTTGGAAAGTCCTAACTGGTGAATAAGATGGATTTTTAAACAATTCTAAGCGCAACCGGCTGATTTTTGCCATTGTTAGAGCGCTTCTTTGAGTACGTGCAATGTTCTGATAGAAGATGATTCTTTCTTCTGTAATTTTAATCTTTTCTCCCGAATTTTTCCAGCCGACTTATCGAGGAGGTTACAGCAATATTCTCCTCGTATAGGTTTAATTTTCTGCAGATAATCTATCATAAATATCTCATTTGCATCCCAAAACAATGGATGCTATAACCAGTTCAGTCTCCGCGGTTTGATAATGTAATTTAAGGTCATAATGGTAAATCCAAGTGTCATCGATAATGATAAATCGTCACATAGAATCAGTTTTATCCTTCATGAATTTATTATTATTCAGATGTTGTTGAAAAAGTGTTACTCGAATCCGTTTTTGATCCTAACTTAACGAATGCTGCATCCACTTTGAAAATAGCTTTCTAGACCTTATTCAACCTTCGAAATATAAAATGCAAGTTCTTTTGAGATGTCCACGATTTCAGTAATTGCATACGTAGTCATTAATTCATTATCCAAAATTATATCGTGCATAGAATTAACAAATTATCGTTGGTAGGAGTTTTCGGGCGACCACTATGTAACTCGCCATGGACGACTGTACGACCACGTTTAAATCCAGTAATCCGATTAAAATACTGAAAGATACATGAATATAGAAACATCTACTATATCAGTACATATAAATATTATCACCGTCCAGTAATTCTCTGTGCGAGTGTTCAATTAGTGTATACTTTTGAAAATGTTACCTTTTCTAAGGCAACACGAAGTACGTCTACTTCAAACCGCTGTAAAAAACTGTTTTTCAGATTAGCTTGAAACAGGATGTGTTTTTAGGGAATGTCTAGTAGTACAGCAAAGTAATGTTTTTTGATAGCAACGGCTTCTGTGTGCAAGTCCAGAAACACTTCAAATCACAAAGTAATAAAATTACTATAGCTTGAAGAACTATTTGGTAAGTGCATGGCCACTTCATAGATAAACTGGAACGAGTAGGGTAGAGCGAGCCGAATGGGATCACTGGGTGAGTCAGATGAACGCGTTATTTGAAATATTAACGGATTTCTTATTTTGATCCGATTCACCCATTGTCTTTCCCACGACCCTCTGTTTATATTATCGTGGTGGTGGCAGACTATCTAATTTCTAATTCAATACGTGATCACTTTTCAACTAATTGCCGATCAACTGAAGTTAGTGTTTTACATAATAACTTTGACGATTAGCTCGGAGGTGTCAATGTAAACCGATCATAATGATGAAATCAGACGCGTCTGAGAGCCTTCCATAACTTTAAAACGAAATTCAAAGAATAAAGGAAGACAAACATGTCATTCCTAGCCTAAAGTCGACATAAAAAATCGGGGTTCTATTAGTAAAAACTAGCACACCCATGAGAAACATTTGGTGTTATCGTACATATATACTTTACATCAACTCTACATCTATAGAATCATGATGACACATACAACCTACTTGGTACAATAGTATGTTGTTAGACAGCAACAGGGAAGTGGTTCACAAATTTTTAAATATGCTTGTCCTGGGATTTCCATAGCAATGGACCTGTTAATCCCTTTTTAAAAGAAAGAAGGAAAAATCTCATCCGGTGTCCAATTTATATTATGTATTTTAGTCTTTGCTTGAGAATATTGATACGATAAACATAAAATTACGTTTTATTGGAAATGTTAATATGTGAAAATACTACATGCAGTTTTATCACTCGTCTAAAAAATTCGTTGGAACGAATACCGTGGACGGTATCCAAATAATGATCAGTGGTAAATTTGCTGCTATCTAATGGCGAAACTCACCCTGCCCCCAAACATACATCGCTTGTAAAGCAACATCAAAGGAGAGTTGTTATGTACATTTTCCACGATTTGAACACTTCCAATCGTGCTTGAGATATTATTTTTTCTGTTCTAATTCAAGCGAGCATTGCTTTTAAGAATCCCACACAAGCATTTGAATTTTTGGGGTTTTGTGGTGCATGTGAATATTTATACCACATATTGGTTTGCAGTCACTTTCAAAAGGTAGCGACACACTACACAGACTATAAACATTGCAAACATTGTAAATCAATAATCTTCTTCATTATAATCCAAAGCAGATACTGGCCATGTTTGACATCGTTTACATCGAATGTTGTAATAATTAACACTAATACTACTATTTCGTGATAATATCAATCGAAACAAAAATTATGGTTATAAAGAAAAACTAGATTTAAAACAAAAACAATGAGCTCAATTGCATTTATAACAATCTCTCGCATTCTTCACTGATAACTGTATCTTCTTCATCAGAGTCTGTCAGGATATCATCGTCTGTATCTGACCAATGTTCAAATTCTTCTTTGTGATGTTCTAGCATCATCAGTGATGGAAAGATGCTGTCACATCCTGAGCACCTGTAAAATATAACATGGTATAAATATCTATTACCTAATATAGAACATGTTAATCTTTTATACGCATATTGAACACAAAAAATATCGCCTAAAGATAATAATTAAGGATGCTACTGGAAATTCATATTTCTAAATTAGCCTTGAACGACTTCATAATTGAACGAAATTTTGAAGCTCAGTAACCAGTTGGGATCACAGATGAAGTGTCCATGAAATACAATTAACTAGCCCCAACGTAATATTACACTTTTAATTTACCTACTGTACAATAAGTAATTACTTTTGTTTGTTAACAATAAAACGGACGGTTGTCCTGAAGACTATGCCCCCAGGACCTTGGATATGCGGATGTTGTTCTCGCTTTCTATTTCTTATCATAATTGAAATATCATTAGGGGCTTAATTCTTGGAATGGCGGACAAGAATAACTGAGAGAAAGTGAACATCGTTCTCTTAGTGTTCAGGAATAGAATTCCCCAGAAAAGTCGCTCCCTAGTGATTCTTGGGAAAAAACTGCGAAAGTCTCAGTGTCATCTCTAAAGGTGAAGTCAACTTTATGTTGGAACGTTTACTGATATGGAGAGCTCAGAAACATATATAGTTGTAGTCACCGTTCTTGGCGGGTCAAAGTAAGACTACCAGTGTCCCTTTATACAATGTGTTTGGTCACGACATACCGATATTTGAGGAGGGTATTTTTCAGCTATTTTTATCGACAAATCCACCACCCTACAATTCGTACCTCATCCCCCTCGAAATGGCAGCCATTTTTATTTTTACGTTACGATTACGGTAGTGCATGTTTGAAAATTGTAATAACTGAGTACGTAATTGTCACAGAATGATAAATTTGGTGTCATTTGAATGATGACATGCTGGCTAAGCGATTATTGAAAAACTTGTTTTCATACAAACCGTCAAACATACTTAAAACAGACAAAAATAGAAAAAAATGTGGAAGAAAATTGATTATTTTGTGCATTTCCGCACACCATTCAAAAACTAGCCTGTGAAGTTGTACCTTTTTTGTGCTTAATTCTACAGCTTTTTGTTATCCTAAGTATTCTACGTTAATCAATAAATGCTATCTAACATGGGTCCAAATGGGTGTAATAAAATGCAAATTGTTTTCAAACTCTATATGCATGACAAATCAATGTTTCTTATAGAGAGTTTGAACATGTTTAATGTTACAGAAGCTGTTCAAAATGTCTTCCATTATTGGTTATGCACATTGTTGTTCTTAAAACAATGTGTCGTGTCCCCCCCCCCCCACCGGGGGGGGGGTAAAGTATGACATTGTAGGGGGTGGATTTGTCGATAAAAATAGCTGAAAAATATCCCCGTCAAATATCGGTATGTCGTGACCAAACACATTGTATATCTCCATCTCCCTCATACATACAAATGCAAAATGCAACCTACCCCTGGGGGGACGTTTGGTCGGTAATCTCAAAGTACATACGTTTTTTAGTTGTGTGTCTTTGCCTCAAAAACTGCCGTTACGTATGAGTGCCTTTCAATCATATTTGTCCGAGCGACAACTTACTTGACATCGGCGTGTAAAAGAGGGCTGCGATTAAGCAAGCAAAGAGGACATGACCATAGTGATGAACATGAAGTGAGAAATGCACTCCATGAATTCCGCAATGAGCAGTGCAGAAACTTTCTGGCGGGGATGCTTGAATCAAGTATTTCTCTCTGGAAAGTGGCAAAATCGCTCAGAAACGGAAGTCTAGAGCAACTACCACATATTCATGGTCCTGGAGGCATAGTTTTCAGGACTAAGGATAAAGTGGAGGTTTTTGCTGACGTCATGGAAAGGCACTTCTCTTCCAATTATGATCTGGACAATGACCTTGACGAGGAACGACAAATTGTAAGATCTGTTAGGAGATACTTCAGAGCGAATGGCGACAACAATATCAGTGCTAACATCGGTGACTCCTTTTCAGAAGATTCTTATACGGAAGACTCTTCAGATGAATCTCTGCATAGCACATCAACGGAATCCTCAGAGATTCCGCTTTGCACACCAGCAGAGCTCCAAGACCACATTAAGGACCTAAAGATGCGTAAAGCACCTGGAGAGCATCAAATCACCAACAAAGCACTTAAATTGCTTTCGCTCAAAGCTTTGACTTATCTGGTGGCAATAATCAATGTAATGCTCAGAACTCATTACTTTCCCAGGGTGTGGAAGATCGCTGAAGTCATCATGATCCTAAAGAAGGCAGGTTCGATATTCCCCCAGGATTACTGTCCCATTAGCCTGCTGTTAGCTTAGTTAGTACGGAGCTGCAGGCAGTTGGACTGGTGGAGCATGTAACCAGGGGGTTCACCCTCAACAAAAGTACTGGTATCTTGCTTTTAGATGTATCAAAGGCATTTGACAAGGTGTGGCACATGGTCCTCTTGTATAAGCTCATCCAAAAGGGTTTTCCATTTCGGCTACTAAAACTGTTGAAATATTTTCCAGAAGGAAGGAAGTTTCGGATCAAAATTAATAATGTGTTGTCAACAACATGACCCGTAAGCGCCGGTGTTCCTCAGGGTTCGGTCTTAGGACCAATCCTTTATTCACTTTATATACATGACGTCCCTTGCCCCAGCAACTGTGAGGTCTATCTCTATGCTGACGGCACTGCACTGGATTATGTAAAACAACAGGCACAGCGGCGTTATAATCACGCACAGTAATCCTCTGTTGCGTGATTCAGTAGACTATACAGTCGAGCAAGTTTGCGAACATTCCAGGCCGCGCCTCACACTGTGATCAAAATTAAATTGTGAATTTCAGACCAGCCAAAATTATTTCAGTATACAAAACCGATCACAAATATTTTTTATTTATTTTATTATTCGAGTAGTCAAACCAATAATGCTTAAGCTATTTCAAATGATTTACTTCTTGTCTTTGCTCTATTTCTTCCTTCCTTTTTTTTCCTTCTTTCCTTTTCCCCCCTAAACATGCTTGGTATCTGGGTAGCCAGACCTGACAGACTAACAGACCGACACGAGACTTTTAACTAAGAGCAAAGGTCCACCGGACCACTTTGACGAACAATGACGAATAGAAAAGTATTATATATGCTTTCACGACATTTGTCAAAGCCTGCCAGAACCTGGAATCATTCCTCATGGAAGAAAACCACGCTCAGTTCAGTGGCTCTACTCCCTCGTTTCAATAGTAGGGATCCAGAACTAAACATATTTCACCATACTTCAGATCAATCTGTTAAAGGGAAAGGGGTAAGACTTCAATTACAAGATTTGATTCATACAGGGTAAGTCAAATAAAACCGTTCTATAATAAGAGCAATAAACCTGAAATTACAACAATTTATGTACTTTGGTTTTGTTAAACATACCAAGAACCCAATTCTTTTCCAAGAAATATATCTTTGCACATGCACATCCAAATGAAATGCATCATGCATGATATGCAATATGCCGGTGAGCTTTGGAGGCAATAACGAAAATAAATTGCTAGCGAGGTATGTCTGTGCATAGGAGTCGCCATAGGGAGAAAAGGGGCATTTGCCTCCTTCCTGGGAAATTAATTACAATACATGTCAGGCTGTTATCTAGAATAGCGTTTTATACTGGAGTTACGAAAGCAAAACCTAAATATCAAGGTAGTGTAACTACGAGTACTCTAAACGTGGGTGCTCGCAGGAGTTTTTCTCAGGGGTGGAACCGTGCAATATGACTGGAAGTGACCATATCTCTGACAGCGATGGCACTGACCGATTTGTCCAGAAGTTCGTTGCAACTCCACAGAGATAACCATGTCCATGAGTTCACATACAGTAAAAATGTCGTGAGACTTTGCCATCTTCGGCAGTACCACAACTATTAGAGACATGGGTCTCCCGCCATTCTTTTTCAAGCGAATTACATGAAGAGGGTTATATCTGTTTGATATCAGCTCTTCCTTCACTTCACATTCTTCCGCAGATGTTGGTATTCCCCTAGGGACCGCTTGAATGTTTCTTTCTCCAGGGTGGGGAAAAGTATGGTGTGATGTTGCTTTTTATTTTAGAAAGCGTACAAGTTAGAGTGGCAACTTGCTTGACATCGGCGCGCAATTTGAGTTGTCCTGTTATCAATCTTCAATATAAAGTTGAACAATGTCAGGAAATACCATCAATTTAGAAGGCCGACAGATCGTGTTAAAGTATTTCCAGGAAGAGAATGAAAACAGGGGTCACCTGTTACTCACTTCACGCGTACTAGAGAGAGTAGCAGATGTGCTGGGGAAAATCGCAACATCAAAAACCGATGATGTAAGTGATGCCGTCAAAACAGAAATTAGGAATACTTTCTACGATATAAGAACTAAAGGACACCATATCACGACCTCTGCGCTCAATCAGGAGCTAAAAGAAAGGTACATATATGTACAACGCCTTGGATTCAAGTTTTAGGCGTCGATTGAAAGCTTGCGGTTTTTCCTACAAGACAGAAGATAACCGCCGACTCTTGTGTGAAAAATCAGACATTGTTTCCAAACGTATCTATTTTATGAGATATTATATGAATAATCTGAATAGTACAAGCCTTCTCCAATGCATTTTCTTAGATGAAACGTGGACATTTGCCAAAGGATCGTTTAAACGAGTTTGGCAAGATAAAAACGTGTTCGAAAAGCGGCCATCAGGGTACCGGCAAGCGGTATGTTGTTCTCCATGCTGGGACCAAAAACGGTTTCTTGAGAGATACTGCATTGTTATTTGCTACAAAATCAAAAAGTGCTGACTACCAGGATTCTATTGACAAAGATCGTTTGAAAAAATGGGTATGTGAGAAGCTGATACCAGCATTACAAGAGACTTTAGAAAAGTATCACTTTCCGCACTTGTTGGGTAAATAACTATTATGTGAAATTTGCTCCAAATGGTTTGATCGGTGAATTACTGTAACTGCGAGGAAATTTTGCAATAATTCTTATATTTTAAATGAACAACTCGAAAAACGTTCGCACATATTTTCGGTGTGATTACGTGCGGTGAAAAAGTGCGGTCACGTAATTTGAGGTTTTTGTCGACTCAAACGTACTACTGAAGTTCTCTCTACATAATATTTTAAATATTATGGTCAAATATATCTTGATAGATAGCGTTGGAAAAACTTTTGCATTACATTATAGAAATACATTTTTATGACTCGAACAGACTTAACCCTTACGCTCTCTCTAAATTTATTTTATCGACGCCCATATATTGTAAAGAATTTACCATCCAGCGCGTAGATATTCGTAGCCATCCCATCTTATATCTTATGTGGTATTGTTTGCTACGTTATATTTATCGATTTACTTGCTCTCTTTATTTAAATGGAAATTCCTGCCTCTCGTTCGCTTACTGTATGGAATTTTTATCTTTCGCAAAAGCTACACCCCAGAATGTTTGTATAAACAGCAATGCTTTTAGCTTTCCTGCGTATGAGTGAATCAGGTTTTTCAATAGGATTTTAAACTAATTAGCTAAGCTGATTAACTTGGAATATGTGTTGTTATTTAGATACCAACTGACATCGCTTGAAGGAAGCAACGAACAACAATAGTAGCACAAGTTGATTCTTTTTTCAATTTTACAAACAATTTCAAGTACACAGTAAAATGACAGCTACATGTTTTCAATACTTGATTTTTGTATTAAGAAGAACACTTAACCTGGTCATGTATGGAGAGTCTCAAGGATCTTTCAATATTCGTGAAAATTATACAGGGTATATTGAAGTTCTCGAAAAATAAACAAACCTGTCTAATATCTTATATGCTTTGAATAATTAAGATACTATTTTCAGAGAAAATATGTGATATCAAATCCGGTCTTGCCTCCAACAGATGATGATTATGATTCTGTGGAAAGATAATAAGCACGTTAATATATTACATTAGCGCCAAGTAAGTACACAGATCTGTTTCTTTACACATTGGATTTGAAAGTACCGGAAACCGCATACCCAGATAGCAATACCGAATTTTTCAATATGATGATTACAGTGAGAGTTATCAAGATGCTACTATGCAGATCGTTTTCTGAATTTGCACACCCTGCACCGCTTTATCCGTTTATCTCGTATAAAAAAACAGAGCATTGACCCTTTTGCAGAAACGTTCAGGTGTGCATAGTGTAAACCTTGGCAACTCCGAGAGTTGCAAACGTCAGGCACAAAATTGTGTCTTTCGACGATAATTTTTAAGAGTATTTTTGAGCATAATGTGATGATTTGCTATTTCAACAATTGAAGATACGTAACATTTGCATTTTAAGAGAATTAATCCTTAAGGGATGCAGCCTAGATTGGAGATGGGTCGACCGCTGCCTACTGCTGAATATCTGAGTAGTTGAGTTTCCAGATTGAACATTTAGGTATATATTATATGTACAGTATGTTGACACTAAGGCCGTTTCCTGATTTGTCGGTGCGGTATCGGTGCGGCGGCGCTTTGCTCTGTTACCGAATCAATACCGCATTGCTCCCATCTACGCATTACTCGGTATATTCTCGGTATGAAATTCAGCAGTACGGCTCGTTTTATGGAGAGATGTCGTCTTCGAGTTCGAGTGATGATGTTATTTGTATCTCCGTATACGTAAATAAAGAAAACCTCATTGGCGTCATTCTTACATCGAAAATAATATTAACTGTCGACTATTTGTTGCAGCAAAAGACTTTTTATCTATGTACAGAATGTCAAAAGAAACATATCAACAGCTTTTGAATCCTTTAATTAAACAACACAGGATGCTTTTCAATTTCCAGTACTAAAGTTAAATATATTTTCGCCATTTTGCAGTACATGTGCGTATACTTGCGGTGAATCCCGAGCGCCGCCTGGATGAGCGTGCCGAGACGCGGTAAACCGAACGGACCCCTCCCCGCTCCCGCACAATCCGCGCTAATCAGAAACGACTCATTGAAATATAGGCGCTCGGTAAGTTTTCGGTACCGCGTATACCGAGCATACCGCCGTCGCACCGATACCGCACCGACAAATCAGGAAACGGCCTAATATTGCACAGAGAGGATTACCGAGTGTTCCTTACTGACGTGCTAATACTCCCAGATAAAATTCTTCAAATAATTTTATGAAGTAAAGTTTAACATCTGTCTGCAACGGCTTAAATCTTTTGCGAGAGTGTGATGTTATATTTTCATTAAATAAATGGTTTTCATTCAAGAGCAAACATGTCCATTTCCTAGAAAAGGAAATATAACACAACGAAGTTCGACCTTTTTTCCAGGCATTATTTTCAAGCAGTTTCCTTGACGTTATTGAACCATACCTTAAAGAAAAGTAAATATAAAACCTCAATAATGGTAGCATGAGGAGTTTGGAGTAGGGATTTACTACCTGACCTGATTTTCAAGCTACTTGAATTGACTTGACTTGAAATCAAGTCAATCTCTAGGCAAGTATTGGATATTAGAAATGGAAGTTTAGTGGTCTTACGTATATCAAGTTCTTGAAAATTCAAGTAGTCTTGGTATTACTTGCTAATTTTTGTAATACAAATACGAGATTATAAATACTCGTGCACAACGGAAATACTTTGTGGCAAGTTACAGAGAAAACAATACATACTGAATAAAATATTTCATTCATCGTATTATAAATAAAAAAATGGTAAAACTCTTAACCCAAATAAAAAAACATTTCTTGATACAAAAAAACTAAAAATTCTGAATCAGCTTTTCATTCACTAACCACGAGCTAAGTCACATGAGGGTCGGTCGCTTAATCTGTTGCGGGGTTACGTAATGGTAATGCAGCCCTAGAAAATTCCCTTTCAAATGGCGCTGATGTTGTAGGTGTCAATAAAAAATCTCTTGCCAGTAAAACTAGATTTGGGAATATATTTTCATGCCTTTTCCACCACTCGTGATTATTTGCATTGAAATACGAAATACGGTTCTTCGGTTGTACAAACAAATGTCATTGAACGCCTTTAGTAGAACAAAAATATAATTTGCCATCAGCTTCATTACTATTTTAGCTGTCAGTTTTCATGATACTAAAATATATAAGGTATTGGACTGTTATGTATATGTTGAATTATTTCAAAAATTGTTAGGATCATCGACTGTATGAAGATTGTTCTATATACCAGCCGTAATATGGTAAAATAAAACGGCAGTTATATTTTTTACTACCTATCTCTTTTAAACGGCATCCATTCGATAAACCATATTCATATAAACCATATCGGGACAATTTTATTTACCACAGGGACACATTTTGATGGCAAAGAGATAGGGCCAGCATCCAGCATCCATTATCCACCTTAAATCCGTCCCTGTTTATTGTACATATATGGTTGAGCATAAAAGCTTTAATGGCAGCTTTTAGCACAGCGAGTATTAAACAAAACCTTTCGTTGTATAGGTATTTTTAGTTTATGGTTTATCACACTCCTAGTGCACTGTTGGAACGCTATGGTTGGAACTGAGCTTACCCAAAATGCCTTTTCTTCTGTTTATGCGAGGACAGCTGTTTCAAACTGGAGAAAGATCTGTCACAGACGTTGCACGTTAAGGCTTCCTCTGAAAAAAGATGGAAACTGGGTTAAACCAAAGGCCAATATATTAATATTTGTTCAACATTTTGGACTATTTTGGAATGGATACGTTTTCCAAAATCTCTTCATACTAACATCTTTTTTTGAAAATTGCCTATGAAGTCACTTTTTTTAGTTGTTTTGATGAACTAAAATCTCCATGTAAACTGAGGAAAAGTGATAATAAAACAGGTCGGCTGATAAGATCAGGATCCGTATTGTATCAATTTTGCACCCCCAGTGCCGCTCAGATTTTACACTGATTTGTAACCAGAGCGTTTTGGAATAACTTTGTGAACAGAATTCGGCTGATTTCGATAGATTTGTTTTTCTTACACAAAGTAGATGCGAAAGGAAGGTGGTAGAAGAAAAATGATTAAAAAGCTTTCCTCTTTATTATGGATTTTGTGTTAGTTGTCTACGTTTTGTCTATGCCTTGAACTTTAAAATCTAAATTTGCTTCAGTTTGAACTTTGGAGGAGGTGTCTCAGAAAACCCAATTATCATTAAAGTTCGCTTTATTTACATGTATTTATGTATAATGTTTGCTAAGTAAAAGCATAAGAAAGTATATGGATTGACGAGAAAAGGTGAATGATCTCTTGGTGATGCTGATGGCTAGACCCACTACAGGCGTTGGCTTGATTTTGCCGTAGTGGTGCAACATCTTTCGCCGGGAGAGGATGTTGGGCATCGGTCTCCCTATCACCGAGAATGGCACAAAACTTCTATAGCCCACAGCCAATAGCTCGCTTGGGGCTAAACTTGTCCTATCGTCGACTGGAGGACTAGCTTGTTAAAGTCGGCTGTCCTCCACTACGATGACGGATTTCATGTTTGATCAGCCCTGTTGCCGCCACCATTTCTTGCAAGAAGCAATTTTGGTCCGGAAGTAGATTGGCAAGCCTGATTATTTTTTCTGGTTCTGAATGCGGTGTGCTTTCTCCTAGCTCCCAGTTGTACTCAATAGAATGGACTCCCTTGGTGTGAAGCTTTGTGTCGGGATATGATATTTAAATGCCCTGCCACAAAAGCTGCACTTGCAACATGCGATGAACGATCTGCCTGGTTGATGGAGTTGGCGGATTGGCTGTCCATACCTACCGATGCCATTGAAGTTCTGATAAAAAAGTATACGCCCTGGAAGGTGATGAAATTGGGTAGAAAAGGGAGCAAGCTAATCTACCTGCCCGGCAGTGTCTGAAGAGGGATAGCATCCCCAGCCACGGAAGTTGTGGTGATGATTTGAACTACATTCAACGTGGAGAGGATGGTCCAAGGATCATGACCCATCACGTGTTTGTGGAATCACCTTGAGCAAAAGGTAGCAGTTGCGCCTCAGGAAGCTAGGAGCTGGGAGATCCTAATGATCTTCTAGGAGGAGATGCTAGGGATGTTCTAGTCTCCGACGACCTTGGAGCGTTTACAGATTGGAAAAGAGCAGCACCAGGGACTTGGGGAGTGGAAAATCCGATTTTGAAAACACTGCTGGGGGACGTTCTTGAAGCCTTCATGAACCACAATTGATACCAAATTGACAACTCGAACAATAAAACCTGCAGGAGTCAGGCTATGGAAAAATGAAGTTAATTTTGAGGTTCTATGAGCTTGTTTGTGCCAGAGAATTTCGAAAATTCCGGGAATTGAACTGTTAGAGTTGGGGGAAAAGTTTGCGAGTTGGAAGTATAGCTCTAAGAAAAGTCCAGTACTCCCCAGTAGGACAGAAGGACTCTAATCTGCACCATACACTACAAGCAACTACTATTAGACTACCCCAGGTACAAAAGCAAGTCCCCTCGTACTCTGGTTAGCGCGCTATAGCAATGTATCGGGAACATATCCGTAAGACAACCCAGAAATAAACTTGTTGCGTAAGTACGTTCACTTTTTTCCGTCTTAAGAGGAGAAGATATTTTTCTAAGTTTTATGGGCAAATGTGCGGGAAAATATATGATGTGTGAAAAATGTCTAATAGGTGGGTAGAATTACCGGGGATGGAAGTGTATTAATATACTAACATCAGACAAATGCGATACATCCTCCCCCAGTCCCCATATTTTTCAGAACCGATCAAAAAACCATCTGAAACACCAAAAAACGTTTGAGCGATTTTATTTTCTTACGTTTTTGGCTTTTTTCTCCGACCCCACTAGACGATTTTCAACAACCTTGTGTGAAAAATTAAATCAAAATCCCCAGTTTATAGACGGGGCAGGATTAGCGGGCAGACAGACTGACAAACCGACGGAAATGAGCGTCATGGTTTTTCGTTATGTAAATGTCATAATATAACATCCAAAAAACACAATATCTCATTTTCAATTTTTTGCGATTACAATACTTTCTCAGTGGCGTAGAAACTAAAAAGATATATTTTTAACAATTCATTATGTCGATTGAGATGCCGTAGTTTGTAGATATGTTTACACTGCTCTAACACTGTGTCCGGACGATATTCATTTATAAAATAAATAATTGTAATTTGTCATGAGGCAGATGATAAAATATGCGCCCTGCACCCACATCATCTGGAAATTTTGCATGTCAATGTGCCCCGAGGCGGCTGCCTCACTTGCTTACCGCCTGTAACCAGTCGTGAATAAAGGTATGACGTATGTTTCTTTGTTAATATATCTGTATATCCAGGGTGTTCATTTGAAAACTTCCCACCACGGCTTTATCGCTGATTTAAAAGAAAAATCGCGGAGACACGTCAAAAGATTTGTCAAGAAGACAACATTTTAACCAAAAACTACTTCATCCCCCTCCACCCTCTGCCCCGCATGGTCATCCCCTCAAAAAATTTTATTGACTACGGGTGTCGAGTAATAGCTTGACTTTCGAAGTCATTTATTTTGATTTTTTGAAATCGGCCGATTTGTTTACAATTAGAAAAATCTTTATTTATCTTAATTTGTTCAGATAGATAACAAAAACATACGAAGATATCACTTTTCATTTCAAGAAGTGCTCAAAATGTTGCCCGTTATTAGTACATCAATGATATAGGCGATGTTCAAATTCCTGACGGACATTATCAAAAACATGTTGTGAGATATTATGGCAGCTTTCGATGATGCGTTGACGAAGTTCATCTAAGCTTTCAGGTTGGGGAATAAACACAATAGATTTCAAATGGCCCCATAGATCAAAGTCTAATGGCGTCAAATCAGGAGATCTAGCAGGCCATTCTATAGGCCCTCTTCGTCCTATCCATTTATCTGGAAACTCGTCGTCTAGCCATTGCCGAACCGGAAGAACATAGTGAGGAGGAGCGCCGACTTGCTGGAAATATATTTCAGCCTCATCAAGTATAGGGTTTCCATCCTGTCCGATTTGGTTTTCAATGGTTTCAGTGACAAGCGGATTGATGGTGTTTTCCAAATAAATGCCTTCGTTAAAATTTCCATTAATAAGTAATGGCCCAATCACTTTGTCTCCTAAAATGCCTGCCCATACATTAACTTTTTGGGTGTACTGGGTATGCCCTTCTACAAACGCATGACGGTTTTCATTGCTCCAATACCTGCTGTTATGCTTATTAACAAATCCATTTAGATAAAATGTATCGCCCATCGAAATCATCTTTGGTTAACTCTTGCAATATTTTCATATTGAATGGATGAAATTTATGGAGTGTACAGAGCCTAATAAAATACCAGTCGCAGCAACAACTTGAGCAGCTTCATCTAAAACTTTCCGATGATCACGTTTTTTATTTGGAACAGATCCTGTTTGAGTAAATTTGGTGGCAAGGTCCAAAACATACGTATGCGAAGTTATCTTCCCCGGATGTCTGGCGTTAAACGTGACGGCAGTTTGCCGAGCACATTGATTTTGGGCACCATAAATTAGAATAATTTCCACTCTTTCGGCTAGTGTTTAAACCATTTTCGAAGTAAAACTGAATCAATACATTAAATTTCACTATCCCAAAATAGTCAAAAAGGTAAGTGACAGCAAATTAAATTCTTTCTTCACCTTAGCAACAAATAAGTAAACAAGTATAATAATAAATACAATGCGGAAAAAAATTGGGTTGTTATTTGGTTGTTGCCACGTCTAATCTTCCGAATTAAGGTTTATATTGGTAGTTTCCGTTTTAAATTATAGACGAATTGTAGATTTGGCAACATTATACATTATTGAAGTAATAAGTGATATTTTCGTGTGTTTTTGTTTTCTACCTGAACAAATTAAGATACATAAAGTTTTTTCTAATTTTCTTAAAAACGAATCGACCGATTCAAAAAAATGTAACCTCAAAATAAAGGACTTTGAAATAACTTTCAAACAAGCTATCACTCGATACTCCTTGTTATTCAAAATTTTTAAGTGAATGGCACTGGGGGGGACGAAGGTGAAAGGGGTGAAGTAGTTTTTGGTTAAAAATTTGTCCCCGTTGACAAATCTTTTGACGAGTCTCGCTGTTTTTTCAGTGGTTTTCAATAAATCCGTGGTGGGAAGTTTTCAAATGAACACCCTGTATAATTTATACAGAGAGTCTAAGACGGAAACAACTTTTTGTTATTCGTTTCACGAGGAGCCTATTTCAAAATACAACTTTGATCACGGTGTCCCCTCAGCCTGCGTAGACACGTCATCACGGTACGGTGAGGTTCGAGGTTTGTTCCGACAGGCGTTACAAACTTGTTCAGAACCAACGGTTCCATTTAAAATCTTTAGGTTCACCTCCAAGTGATTTTAAACTTAATTTTCAAGTTCATGGCCGAGATCGCCATGAGATAATTCTCTCACAACTCTGCAATTTGACAATTTTGATTGTCTGTTTCAGCACCCTGTATAAATATGCCCAGTAGTGGACGTCTAAGCTATGTAATGAGGCAATTTAATCTTCAGAGCTTATATGAAATCAAATGGGAGGCTAGCAGAAAGCAGAGTGGCTGACCGTCCGTAGGTCCGTCGCTTGTAGGGCCGCATTGCGTGCTCTTTAATATGCATGTTGCTAGTAGCATTATAGGCGGTTTTGCGCGTTTTATTCCCCATGCCGCCATCGGTGAAGGGTGCATTTACTTAACCACTTCGCAAAGCCCGCTGTACAGAATTACCGACGCATTAAACTTTGGACGCTTCGGATATTTCACCCCAACGTTTCGCCCTAATGGAGACCCTTTTGGATCGTGACACTCATGCAAAAAACTGACGTCAAGTTGTTTGACTCCTCAGTTAATAAATAAATACAAGAAGGTCTGATCAAAAGGTTCATTGTAAAGGTGTACTCAAGGGTCCTAATGATTTTAATCGGCGTATTTGAAGATTGAGGATAACATTTCTAAATGTCCCCAACCGCTGCTTATCATGCTTAACAGGGAGGATGCTTCATTCTACAATGGGGATATGATTAAAGAGACGTTTGAACATGTGCAGATCATGCAGCTATGATTTTAGCATTGTTTGGATGTTATTTCTGTGAGGTGATTATAATTCGTGAAAGAAAAAGTATTTTTGATTCACACATCAAACTAAATCTCGTTTTGGAATAATGTGAAGTCGCATATAACACGGCGGAGTTAGACTTGGGGTTGAATTTCTGATAAAAAGTTGACACAAAGTTACTACTATTCCAAGTACGGAAAAGCTTCGTAGCATTTTTTGTTCCATGCCTTCTTCCATTCCATATCCATATCCAGAAAGACATCAGTAACTTTAGCCTTTCTAGAAGCACTTTTTGTCCTTTAACTAGTTTTCCCCTAATAATTTGCAAAATCGAAAAGGGGTGTCCATCATTTACTTTATATTCACTTGTCGCTGTATGTGTTGCCTAAACGTCAAGATACGCGGGCTATAAACTGTCGCTCTGATGTGATGTAACATCTGGTTCAGACATGGTACTAGCGGAGGTCATTCATTGCTTCTATGCACGAAGACCAGAGATAGGAGATTAAGGCCCATATCGTCAGTCGTCCCTACAATTGTAGGACGCGTTTATGGCCTCCTTGATTGTCATACTCCTTTCTTTCCTTCAAAAATTTCTACATTACACATGTCCCGTGTCAGTGTCAGCGCTCTCCTATTGTGAAGATATGTTTTCTTTTTAAATTGTAGGAAATTTCAGGCTGATAAAACATGATATAACTCAAAAGCAAGCACAA